CCTAAAACCTTCTCTCAGGTCTCAGTAACAGCTACTCTTCCTTCTTGACACTTAGACCTGAAATCTGGGAGACATCCTTGACTCCTATTTTTCTCCCATACCCCACAGGGAATATACCACCAAATCCAATTGTTTTCCAACTCATCTAGAATCCCACTGCCTCTCACTGCTGGCTCTGCGAGGACCTAGCCTGAGCACCATTGCTGCTCCCCTAGGATAACTGTAATAGCCTTCTCTAACTGGTCTTCTTCCTTTCACTCTTGCGCTCTTGTTATTATTATCAACAGTGCAGCCAGTGTAATCTTCTTAATATTAATCAAATTAAGTCATTGCTTTACTCAAAACCTTCCGATGGCTCTCCACTTCAACCAGTCTAAAAGCAAAAGTTCACAAAATCTCAGATTATTTAGTTCTGTATAAGTCCTTGACCTTATCACCAATTCTTCTCCCCTCAATCTGATCACTGCAGTCATAGTTGCCTCCTTGCTGTTCCTGGAACATTCTAGGCACATCCCAGCTTTGGTCTCATCATACCTATTGTTTCCTTGGAATGAAACACTTTTTATCTGATATCTCCTTGCCTTGTTTCTTCACCTGCTTTGGACAGGTCCTCGCTCAAATGTCATCCTCTCAATAAGACCCACCTGATTCCCCTATTCAACTTAAAGTTGCAACCCCTTTCCAGCCAGCACTTCCAATACTCCATACCCTGCTCTATATTTTTCCATAGCACTTATCACCTATGTTTTCTATGTTTATTGCCATGACCTCCTCTCCCCACTAGAATATAATTTTCCCATGACCAGGTATTGTCACTTATTTCTTTTTAATTATTGTTTCCTAACTGCTCAGAACAGTGCTTAGCTCACAGTAGCTCACAAATTTATTATATGCAATAAATACCTGCTGAATGAGTTAAATGCAGATCTCAAAAGTCAGTCTGCATCCTCAAAGGGAAATTTAATAGTGATCTGCAAAATTCCTGGTGGCCTCTAGTACTGATCAACCTAATCATTGATCTATAGATACAAATAAACAAGACACTTTTGGTCATTTATGGAAAATTAGCAACCTGAAAGAGGGTGATCAAACTAAATAGACAATAAAAATCCTCCTGGTAGACAAACAAGACATTAGAACCATATGATAATTTCAATAGATGTGGAAAAAGCATTTGACAAGGTACAACATCCATTCGTGGTAAGTCCCTCAACAAGCAGATATAGAGGGAACATACCTCAACATAATAAAGGTCATATATGAAAAACCCAGAGCTAATATCATCATCAATTGGCAAAAACTGAGAGCTTTTCCTCTATGGTCAAGAACAAGACAAGGATATCCATTCTTACCACTGTTATTGAACACTGTACTGGCAGTCCTAGCCACACCAATCAAACAATGAAAAGAAATAAAAGGCATCCAAGTCAGTAAGGAAGAAGTAAAACTTTCACTATTTGCACATGACATGATACTCTATATGGAAAACCCAAGAGGGCACTTGTGTGGCACTGGCCATTAGGCCTCCGACTGTTGGTTTCAGCTCAGGTTATGATCTCACGGTCCTGAGATGGAGCCCCACATCCAGCTCCCTGCTCAATGGGGAGTGTGCTTCTCCCTCTCCCTCTGCCCCTCGCCCTCCCCACTCATGCACTCTCTGTCTCTCAAATAAATAAATAAAATCTTAAAAAAAAAAAAAGAAAACCCAAAAGACCCCACTTAAAAACTGTTAGAACTGATAAACAAATGCAGTAAAGTTGCAGGATACAAAATCAATGTACAGAAATCTGTTACATCTCTACGCACCAATAATGAAAGCAACAGAAAGAGAAATTAAGAAATCAGTACCATTTAAAACTGCACCAAAAACAATAAGATACCTAGGAATAAACCTAACCAAAGAAGTGAAAGACCTGTACTCTGAAAACTATAAAATACCAATGAAAGAAATTGAAGATGACACAAAGAAATGGAAAGACATTCCATGCTCATGGATTGGAAGAACAAATATTGTTAAAATGCCTATACTATCTAAAACAACCTACACATTTAATGCAATCCCTATCAAAATGCCAACCACATTTTTCACAGAGCTAAAACAATCCTAAAATTTGTATGGAACCACAAAAGACCCTAAATAGCCAAAGCAACCTTAAAAAAGAAAAGGAAAGCTGGAGGCATCACAATTCTGGACTCCAAAGTTATATTACAAAGCTGTAGTGATCAAAACAGCGTGGTACTGACACAAAAAATAGATCAATGGAACAGAGTAGAAAACCCAGAAATGAACCCACAATTATAAGGTCAATTAATCTTCAACAAAGTAGGAAAGAATGTCCAATGGGAAAAATACAGTCTCTTCAGCAAATGGTTTTGGGAAAACTGGACAGCCACATGCCAAAGAAAGAAACTGGACCACTTTTTTACATCATACACAAAAATAAAACTCAAAATAGATTAAAGACCTAAATCTGAGACCTGAAACCATACAAATCCTAGAAGAGAACATACAGCAACTTCTTACAAAATATGAATCCTGAGGCAAGGGAAACAATATCAAAAATAAACTATTGTAACTACATCGAAATAAAAAACTTCTACACAGTAAAGGAAACAACCAACAAAACTAAAAGGCAACCTACAGAATGGGAGAATATATTTGCAAATGACATATCTGATAAAGGATTAGTATCCGAAACATATAACAAACTTATAAAACTCAACACCGAGGGGCGCCTGGGTGGCTCAGTTGTTTAAGCGACTGCCTTCGGCTCAGGTCATGATCCTGGAGTCCCGGGATCAAGTCCCACATCAGGCTCCCTGCTCGGCAGGGAGTCTGCTTCTCCCTCTGACTCTCCCCCTCTCATGCTCTCTCTCTATCACTATCTCTCTCAATAAATAAATAAAAATCTTTAAAAAAAAAAAAAAACTCAACACTGAAAAACCAAATAATCCAATTAAAAAATGGGCAGAAGACATAGATATGTTTTCAAAGAATACATACAGATGGCCAACACACACATGAAAAGATGCTCAATGTCCCTGATCATCATGGAAATACAAATCAAAAGTATAATGAAATATCACTTCACACCTGTCAGAATGTCTAAAATCAATGACACAAGAAACAGCAGATGTTGGTGAGGATGTGGAGAAAGGGGAACACTCTTGCACTATTGGTGGGAACACAAATTGGTGCAGCCACTCTGGAAAACAGTGTGGAGGTTCCTCAAAAAGTTAAAAATAGAACTACCCTGGGGCATTTGGGTGGCTCAGTCGGTTAAGCAGCTGCCTTTGGCTCAGGTCATGATCCCGGGGCCCTGGGATGGAGCCCCACATCAGGCTCCCTGCTGCCTGCTTCTGCCTCTGCCCCTCCCCCCCACTTGTGCACACTCTCTCTGTGTCAAATAAATAAATATAATCTTTAAAAAAAATTTATCTTTAAATCTTTAAAAAAACTACCCTATGATCCAGCAATTGCACTACTAAGTATGCATGCAAAGAATACAAATATACTAATTCAAAAGGAACATGCATCCTGATGTTTATAGTAGCATTACCTACAGTAGCCAAATATGGAAGCAGCCCAAGTGTCCATAGACTGAGGAATGCATAAAGAAGATGTGGTATACACAATGGAATATTGCTCAGCCATAAAAAAGAATGAAATCTTGCCATTTGAAAGGACATGGATGGGGCTACAGAGTACTATGCTAAGTGAAATAAGTCAGTCAGGGAAAGACAAATACCATATGATTTCACTTTATATGGAATTTAAGAAACAAAGGAGCAAAGGGTAAAAACAGAGAGAGGCAAACCAAGAAACAGACTCTTAACTATAGAGAACAAACTGATGGTTACCAGAGGGGAGGTGGGTGGGGGATGGGTGAAATAGATGATGGGGATTAAGGAGTGCACTTGTGATATATAGAAGTGTTGAATCACTGCATTGTACAACTGAAATTAATATAACACTGTATGTTAACTAACTGGAATATAAATAAAAACTTAAAAAAAAAACACAGAAAATGAAGGGACAGGACAAGTTACTTTTTAAACAACACTCATGAATCTTGGTTTCAAAAACTATCACATCCACAAAGGAATAGGCTGCTATACCAAAAGAATCATCAGAGAACCAGAAAGTCCTTTTGGAATTTAAAAATGTACTTGATAAAATTTAGAAACCAAAAAATGGCTGTAATTGCATAACAGTTGCTTCAGAAAACTGCATTGGTGATTCAGAATCTCATCTTGAGCAATTTTTCCATAACTTAAAAAGAAAACAAAATAGAAACTACATAAGAGAGCTTAAGAGACAAGAAATATGGATCTAAAACATGTAATATTGACTTATTAAAAGTATCAGGAGAAGAGAATGGAGTAAATGTTAGAGAATAAATAATCGAAAGAAAGAGAGGCAGAAAGAAAGAAAGATAGAAAGAAATAAGAAAGGAAGAAAGAAAGAAAGAAAAGAAGAAAGAAAGAAAGAAGAAGAAAGAAAGAAGAAAGAAAGAAAGAAAGAAAGAAAGAAAGAAAGAAAGAAAGAAAGAAAGAAAGAAAGAAAAAAAAAATCTCCTGAGCTGAAGATGGACTTTTCAGGACAAAAAAGTGCACCCCAAGTATCATAAGAAAGAGTGCATTAAATTAAAATAAAATATGTATATAGATATCTTGTCAAAATTCTATAAAGAGGGGGTGCCTGGGTGGCTCAGTCATTAAGCATCTTCGGCTCAGGTCATGATCCCGGGGTCCTGGGACCAAGCCCCTCATCGGGCTCCCTGCTCGGCGGGAAGCCTGCTTCTCCCTCTCCCACTCCCCCTGCTTGTGTTCCCTCTCTCGCTGTGTCTCTGTGTCTCTGTCAAATAAATAAATAAAATCTTTTTTTAAAAATCCTATAAAGAGAAGAATCCAATTTTCTAGAAATAAAAATAGTTACCTAGATGAGAAAGACACTCAAATTAACATTATATGTCTTAATTTCAATTGTAAATACTAAGAAAATACCTAGCTGTGGGGCTGCAAGATGGCGGCGCACAGCAGGACCGTGAGGGTGGTTCGCAGCCGGCTGGGCCCACAGCGGAGGCCTACCCGCTGGGCCGTTTCACGTGTCCCATCTGTTCAGAGGTGTATGAGAAGCTGGTGCAAGTGCCCTGTGGTCACGTCTTTTGCTCTGCATGCCTGCAGGAATGTCTGAAGCCAAAGAAGCCTGTCTGTGGGGTGTGTCGCAGCTCGCTGGCACCTGGCGTCTGAGCCGCGGAGCTCAAGGGGCACATTGAGAGCACAGAGACTTCTTGCCAAGGCTGCCGTAAAAATTCCTTCCTGTCCAAGATCCGGGCACACGTGGCTACCTGTTCCAAGTACCAGAATTACATCATGGAAGGTGGGAAGGCCACCACCAAGGATGCCTCCCTTCAGCCAAGGAACGTCCCAAACCGTCACACCTTTCTTTGCCCTTACTGTCCCGAGAACTTTGATCAAGAAGGACTAGGGGAACACTGCAAGTTATCCCATAGCACCTATACCAAATCTGTGGTTTGCCCCGTATTTGCCTCAATGCCCTGGGGAGACCCCAACTACCGCAGCGCCATTTTCATAGAGCACATCCAGCGCCGGCACCAGTTTTCTTACGACACTTTTGTGGATTACGATGTTGATGAAGAGGACATGAGGTGTTGCAGCACTCCATCTTCGATCAGTGAGCAGTCTCTGCTGTCCATCTCCTGTTCCAGAGCTTCCATTGTGTGTTAGGCGTGAAACATGTGACTCATACACCTTAAATGTACAACAGACCTGGAAGTGAGCTGTGGTGTTAGGACTGGGTCCCTTCTGACAGAGAAAGAGGTCTCCAGGTCAGAGCTGTCCTTTCCTTTCGGGTCTTTCCTACTGTTCATTCTGTCACATGTCTGGTCTTTGATTGCTCCTCAGCTACGTCCTGGAGCTTCTGCTTCCTCTTCTGGAAGAGAACCCAGCTTCTCCACCTATCTTTGTTTCACACTTGTTCCTCCAATCTAGTGTTCATCTCTCAGGTCCTCTGAGCCAGCCAGAACCTTTTCTGGGTCATGAATAGCACAAATGAGACCAGCATCTTCTCTCCTTGTCCCTGAGGTGTGTGTATCCGATTGGTGACGGAGCTCCTTCTGTGCTCTGGAAGTTCTTGTTTGTTGGCCCTTAGCAGCAGCTGCCAAAAGCTGGAGTTTACCTCCTGGGAAACATTTCAAAAGGCCTGTTGGGGTGAATGTTCTGGGTTTAGCATGATCTGATGCTGGAAGTTTTGATTAGTGGTATTTTCCTTCCACTCCTGCACACCCTTAGAATTAACTGGTTCAGTCTTAAATGCCTGCATGGTGCCTTTTTAGGATAAGGTGTAACCATATATTTTTAGTGAGAATAAGTGTTTCTAGGTTAGGAAAGTTAAACTCCATTTATCCATAAGTGGGGAGGAGGGTCAGCTAAGAGCAGTGTGAGGGCCATAACTTTTTGGTTCTGATTTTCAAACTAATGCCATATTTTCAAATGACTGAGTCATGTTTACCACTCTATATAGAGCTTGCTTACATTCTTGTCCTTGAAGCACAAGAAGGAGTCCTCAAATGAATAAGAAGGAAAAGGTTTAGGGGCTCCAGTGGATACTATAGTTAATTTATCTTTTATTTGGTAACTTAGATTAAACTGAGTATTGCTTTTCTATCACAAATGGTTTCCACATGTAAATCAGTATGTGAAAACCTGCCTTCTAAAGCAGAGGTTATAGGAAATCTAGTATCACAGCCTGCTATCTCTTTTTGACAAGACACACTGTTCAGAAGGTAAACATGTCTCCTGTGAGCATTTGTTGATGGAAACTGTGTACTGGAAGCTTGCTTTGTTAATAGCTCAAGAAGCTTGAAGTTCACCATGTTTCACGAATATTAATAAATACAAGGCTAAGAGCTGTCGGTCTAACATGTAGGAGCAGAACCTCTGATTGACCAAAAGGCATGTGGCTTTAGGTTCCCTTTTTCATGTCAGACCTCTCTACACTGAGCATGGAAAGTTTTTCTGGTCAGTGGCTGAGGTTGCAAGTGACAGCGCGCTTTGGGCCTGTGTGTACTGCTGTTGGGGGCTTCTCCCTCTGCCATTCGGGGCTGCAGATGCCTAGTAACCAGCAAAGACAGTGCCCTTTGGGGGCAAAATAATTTTTTCTAATGTGATGTTGCTTGGGAGGGCCCAAATGTTAAGGTCCATGTCTTCACTGTAATTTCTGGAAGAAGTTCACTCTGATCTCCCTGAATTGAGAGGTCTCAGTTTGGAGGGAAATTTGACAAAGCCTTCATTTGAGGGAATGGATGAGAGTGTGTCCATTTCACTGGTGGTACCCAGAAACCAATTTCTTTGTATTAAGTGAACTTCATGTATTTCTAATAAGATGACTTTCGAGAAAGTGAAATTTGTTATGTTCTGGCTTTTAAATGGTGAAATATAAATAAATTTCATAATTTATCTGAAAAAAAAAAAAGAAAATACCTAACAGTTGACAGAGTACTGAAGAATGTGTCTCTAAATATATAGATTTAATGTATGTTTCTACGCTCTGACATAAAAGTAATTAGTTAAAAACAATTTAACACTTATGTGAAATACGTTCTTCAATTGCCTTTTCTCACATAAACATTTTAAACTGAGCTAAAGAAACTCTTCAGGAAAGAAATTATTGTTATTTCTCTCCTCTTGGATAAAAATTCTTAATTATCTTAGACTTATATCTATGGACCATAGTAAAAGGTAGTAGGAAGGAACACCAAAGCACATTAAAAGTATAACTACATTTTAAAATAGAAATAAGCATACTACGTCATATTCATGCACTCAGATCAAATAAGACTGATTCACGATTACTCACAAATCTTGTACATTAATTTGAAACAAGATCCATGTATTTAATAAATGGAAGCTGATTTACATTAATCATGTGGGAAAGTATGAAATAACTATAATTAGAAGAATGAAGTATACATTTGTATACAAGATATATGTAAATACGTATACACACACACACACACACACATCACTTAACAGTTACTGAGAACATTCCCTTTACATTTTTCATTCCTCTAATTATCCCATGGAATCATTTCTACTGTCTTGGGGAACCCCCTCCCTTATTCATTAATAACAAACCAAAGACATAATTAATAGATAATTATGTTCCCTAGGATTTTAGCTTTTGCAGTTGATGTAGCTCACCCTATTTTATATTCCCCAAATCATAAAGGTTCTCAGACATATCATTCATCATTATGTCCACCTATTTATGGCTTTAGTGAAATGACTATTATTAGATTAGGGGGACATATCATTTCAAAATATTTATTTTATATTCCCTAGAAATAGTTTGAACAGAAAAATGATTTGTACAACTATGAATATCAGCATAAAGCAAATAAGAAAAATCACTTATATCACACAAACTTTAAGTATTCAAATAAATGACATGCAAGTTTAACTTATTCTACTTTCCTACAATGATAGCTATCACACTGAATAAAACACGTTTCACATATCATGTCCAATAACTTATTTAGGTTCATAACACAAATATGTACACATATATATACATACCACCTTTCCCAGTTTATAATTTTCAATTTAACTGTGATAAAATTGTACTTATCCTCATTTACACAGTACAGAAATAACTGTCTATACACCAGTGTCACAATTACTGCAGGCATTCTGATATAAGGATGAAAGAATCTATGTTTTACAGATGCCACCTAAACATTTAGGTGAAAGATGCACTACAAAACCAATACTATATTCCCGGGAAAAAAATCATGTGCAGAATAGTTTTCCATCTATACCTCTCTTGTGATCATTTTAGGTAGACAACCTAAACATCAATCCGAGTTTCCTTTCTGTATGTATTGTTAAGTGTTTCCCAGTGCTAGAACACTTCTTTGAACCAATGTTCAGGTAAGACCCTCATGCTTCTCAATGGTTTTGTCTGATCATTGAATACCCACTGAGTGTGGCCTTTGTTGTCTTTCCATTAGAAAGTAAGTGTAACATCCATAACCAGTGACAGTTGTCATCCCTATCAGATCCCTTTCACTATCTTTTGAGGTCGGGGAGAGGTCATCAGGTGTACATTTCCTATTCTACATTGTTTTACAGCTTTCCTCACTTGTAACAAATACTTCAGTATCTTTTAGCTTCTCTAGTAGCACTAAATCTCTCGAAGTTTCTTTAAAAGAGGTATTCTCAGATTAAAATCAGTTCTTTCGGTGTCTTTACCGAAAGAAGTGAAAGGAATTAGATAGTGAATGTCATATAGTTTGGCTGATAATATCTCCTGTACAGCTGAAGTGATAGAAGCATTCTGTGCTCAGATCCAGTACATACCATGTGTATTCCTCTGAGCTCAAAGCAGAAGAGCCTATAGTCTATGTTGCAGAGGCTGTTCCTTTCAGTTACAATAAATTATCATCGAAGATGTGCAAATTATAAAGATAATTAGAACATACCATCCTTCCTCTCTTATATTCCTTGAAATGAGCACATAGGAACACACTTTATATTTTGAAAACAAACTCATCTCCTCAAAGCACATGCTTCAAATGCTTCTCTAGGATATTTTGAGAAATGGTGATGCCACTTACTGAAAAGTGTGATTTGACATTGGAGAACAGAATAGACTGTGGAAATTGTAGCTGTTTCAACAAATTGTGTTCACCTAAAGTGGCCTTTTATCCAGATACTACACACCTATGACAGAATAGATAAAGAGAATTTGTAACATGGAAAGGGAACTGCTATGGCAGACAACCTAATATCAATCCACTTATCTTTCTATATTTTAGTTTTCCCAGACATATACTTCCCTCATTTAACAAATAATCATTGAACAACTACTCTGTGTCAGGCAGTGCACACCCTGAAGATGGATAGGGAGCAAAGACAAATAGTCCCTTTCACAAGATCACTGATGCCCTAGTGACAAGGCCACTCCATTAAGATGCTCTGATGAGACAGTGCTGAACATGGCCATCACCATGGGACACACCCAGTTTTCAGAGTGAAGCCCATCTAAATGAATCTGGCTCACCAGCTGGGAAATCTGGTGTCAAGAGACCTTAATAAAAAGGTTGAAATATAAATTTTGGAAACCTCTATCTCTCCAAAAGCTGCCTGTCAGACAATTTCTATAAAGTTCTAGCAAATCCCAGAAACTAGAGATAAACAACTTTCCCATGAGATCCATAAATTATGAGAAACATTAAACTAAAGAAAACTGCCAAGTTTCCAAAAGTTACATGTTTTTCTAAGCTTTATCTGAAATTCCGGTCATACCATGAAGCCAGTTAGAAAATAAAAAGTAACCTATCCATGAACCTTGCATGTCATAGTTGTCTAATATTTCCAACAGAATTCTTAGACAGGACTACACTTTGTTTTTAAGTTGTATATGTAAACTTAACCACTTGTACTTACCTTTAAACTGCTTTTTTTTAATTTATTTTTTTATTTTTTTATTCTTATGTTAATCCCCATACATTACATCATTAGTTTTAGATGAAGTGTTCCATGATTCATTGTTTGTGCATAA